GTGGTGGAGCAGGACGAGGGGGCCATCCCAACCATCCACAGCAGCACAGCGCTGGGAGGACCCAGCTGCATCCAACCACCGCCAGGCCTCACCGCTGCCTGCTCCCTGCCTGCAAGATGCAGCTCCAACTCCACGTGCCGCTTCAGCCGCGACTCCATGATCCACTGCAGCACCCCGTGGGCTGAGGCCCAGCACCGTGGGTGCTCCCTGGGCCCCTGCCCAGAGCTGTGAAGACAGAGTGGGCAGTTCAGGGATGTATCCCCCATCACCCACGGACCCCCAGCATGGGGGGTTTGGGCCCCAGGGCTCTTTGCCAGCTCTACCTCTCCAGCAGCCCTGTGCCAGCACTCCCCTTTTCCTGGACCTGCAACCAAAGAGCACATTTGTGGGGTCTAGGGTTTAACCTGCACCAAGGGACACTGCACCCCACTGTCTCCACCTGCTCCCAGGAGCCCAAGGACAGCTCCCACCTTCCCAGCCCCTGCCCTGTCCAACCTTCTCCCCCTGCAGGGAGCAGCTCTGGCTGTTTGGCACTGCCATAGCCGGTGCCACAGGGACCCTGCAACCGCCCTCTACATGGGCCACACCCATTGGATACCCTGGCAGTAACGGCAGCCTGTTACAGCATTCCAGTTACTGGAATGGTGTCATCCTGGTTACCATAACTGCATCCCGGTTACTGTAATGGCATCCCAACGACCACAGCTGTAATGGCAGCAACCTGGCCACCATAAACAGCATCCTGGATAGCTTTGTAGCAGCACCTCGGAGGGACACAGCCCCGGATCCAGCAGCAACGGGCCCCTGCAGTCAGAGGCTGGTCGCACGCAATCTGCTCAGGCTAAACTGTCATTTTATTAAACAGTAATTAAAAAGTGCCGAGGCCTATGTGAGGTCTGTGCCCTCCACCCTGTGCCGCCCGTGCCGTGGTGATGGGTGAGCTGCCGGCGCTGCCCTCGGCCTGGCAGACGCAGACTCAAGGTGGGGGCTGCAAGCTCTTGGCCCTGGGGGCTCGGCAGCTGCTGGCACGCGAGGTGCTGGTGAGAGTGGGAGCAAACACCCCCTTGGCAGGACAGACGGGACACTTGACGCTGGTTTGTCCTCTCGAGACGTCCCCAAATGCCCAGTTGCAGTAGAATGAGTAGAAACTGCAGCCTGAAGCAGCAGCTTGGCTGCGGTGCTGAGAACGGGCACCAAACTATTTACACCCCGGCTGGGCACACAGGCAGGCTGGGCACACAGAGCTGACAGCAGGAACAACGGGGACACGGGGAAAAGTGTTCACCCTTGAGAAAGGACAGACAGGTGGCTCCAGAGCCCAAGACCCACACAGACAGAATGGACAGACATCAGTTCCCGCCAGCCGCTGCGGGGAAGGACGGGCAGAGGGGAGTGCTGGCTGGGATCCGTGTCTTTATAAATAAGATCAAGCTAATCAGTTTATTCACAGGGTCCAAGATGGTGCAGAACTCAAAGCCTGGAGTGTCACAAGCCTGTAGCAGAGGAGGCTGTGGGGCCAATCCCCTCAGGCTCAGCAGGCAGGTACACTGCTCTGGAATGGGCTTCTAGCGAGGGCCGAGTTCCAGCAGTTGGAATGGAGATGTGGTGTGAGGGAGAGATCTGAGAGCGCAGCTGCTTTCCTCCCAGTGCCGCCTGCACACCCACTGCACCAGGCCCCACACGCTCACAGGGTGCTCTCCAGCGTGTTGTAGTTGTCCTTGAAGCTCTTCAGCTCCAGGAAGTGTTTGGCACGTTTGCTCTTCTGGCTGGAAGGCAGGTAGGTGACCTGGATGGTGGCGGGGTTGGAGACTTCAGGGGACAGGGTGAGGTCCTTTGCTGCTGACTGGTGCTGCCGCTGGCTGCTGCCCCCCCGGGCCTTGGTGCTGTGGGCAGAGAAGAGGCACCGTCACCGCTACTGCCGCCCCAGAGGAGCCGCTCAGCTGCGCGTCCGTCTGTCCGACACGAGGCAACTCTGCCCTCAGGGTGACGGCGCTCACCGAGGTCTTGAAATCTAAGGTCAGTGGTCATGCACAAAGCCCTGGCTCAAAGTGCCAGGGACAAGCAGGAATGTGGACTGTGACCATGGAACAAATCCAAAACTCCATTAACAGGCAGGTTGCAAGGAAGGAGTGAACTCAGAGGGATGGACGGGCACAAACAGCCCCCGTCTCAGATGCTGGATGTGCCCCAAAACCTGTCTCTGTTCACACCTCCCCCATGGGCTGCTATGGACCAGGAACCCACCACCGTGCCCAGGCAGCAGCACTTACATGTTTGCCAGCTCGTTCAGAGCTTCCTGGTACTTCAGATATTCTGCTTTCCCAAAGACCTGGATACAAACAGAGAAGACCACAGAAAACCCAGCTGAGGTTACAGTGTGACCTCAGCTCCGGCAGCCAGGCTGGAGCACAGGAACAGCCCCACACTGCTGTGGGGATGCAGCCAGGCTGGAGCACAGGAAGAGAAGGATGAAGCCAGGCCACAGGAACAAGGGATGCAGCCAGGGCGGAGCACAGGAACACCTCACAGGGCCGGCAACGCCACACCAGCACTCACCCCGGTGCCATAGCGGGCACTCTCGTACCCATCCAGCAAGGTGTCGATCAAGGCTTTGCGGATGCCTTTGAAGGAGGCGCTGGAATTCCGTAGTTCCAGCAGGTAGGCACAGAAGTTCTTCCCTATTAAAGACTTTGGGTACCGGCCCTCTGCTTGAAATGGGATTTCTGTAAAAAGGCACAACACAACTGGCTGAAACACAGGTGGAAATGCTTGTGCTCACCCCCACAGTCAGGAGGTGCTGGTTAGATAAACTTCCCTCCACACCTGCTACCCGTTTGCCAGATGAGCCCAGAGCATGGGGCAGGCTGACTCTCAGGCCACCAGCCCTGGGTGGGAGAAATGACTGCTACTCCCCAGCGAGGACCTGGAGCCTCCCCACAGGGCTGTTGGCACCCTCATCTCCCTCACTCAGGGTCTCTCTGCACCCTCCTGCTCCGAGCTCCCTTACCTGATGTCCTGATTGCATCCAGCGCCTTCATCCTGTACAGGTAGTTATAGCAGCCTGGGAAACCAGAAAGAACAAACTGAGAGCTCTGCAAACCTTGGAGGGAGGCGGGAAAAGGGAAAACAGGAGCAGAGACACTATCTCGTGTGACAGGACACCAACACGAGCAGCCAAAGATGCAACTTGGCCCCAGGGGAACAACTGTGGGACAGTACCTGGTGTCTCCAACTGCAGGAGCCGGCCATCGTCCTCAGCCAGCAGCCGTGGCTCGTACTTGATGTCCTGCACCCTTGATAGCCGAATGTCAATCTCCTCCTTTAAATCCTGCACAGCAGGAAAAAACCCGACACGTTCACTTAGATTGCAGGATCACAGGGATGAGAACGGGCCTTACACAAACCGCTCCCTCCCCGCTGCCCCACTGCTACTCCACGGTGGCAGCTCTGCCGCTGGAGCAGCCCCTGCCCGTCCCTCAGAGCGCAGGGGATGGAGTGCACCCACCTTGGGCGCGTGCTGTCCCACAGGCACGTGGGGGCCGCGGCGGGATTTCATGGCGAAGCGCATGATCTGGCGTTTCACGAAGATGAACAGCAGCACGAACACCTGAGGAGCCACAGCGGGGCGGGGGGTCAGGCATGAGCCGGGGGGTGTCACAGATAACCCAGCCCACCGACTCCCCCTTCTCAGCCCTCCGACCCCAGAGAGCACAGGGTCCCACTTCAGTCCCCCGGGAGCCTCGCGGACACCCGGCCCGGCCCCACAAACCCCCAGCCTCTACAGAGGCTCCCACCCGCCAGGAGCTCACGGGCGGTCCAGCCCAGGCCCCTGAGGGCCCCGAGCCAGGCTCCGAGGGGTTTCCTACGAACAGCCCGAGACCTGCCTGACAGGCGCGTTACGGACTCCACGGGAGCCTCGCGGACACGCCAGGAGCGGCTTCACCGGGGCCGCACGGACACTAGCGGCCCGGGCTCCGCGGACACGCCCGGAACGCCCCGCACGGACACGCCAGCCCCGCGTCGGCCCCGGCCCGCCCCGCCGGCCCTCACCAGGCTGCCGTAGGCCATGACCAGCACCACGTTGACCCCCGAGAGCCAGTTGCTGCCGGCCCCCGCCATGCCCGGCCCGGCCCGGGGCCGCACAACATGGCGGCCGCGAACCCGCCCTGCGGCCCGCGGCACGTGACCGAGGAGGAGGAGGAGAGGGGGGAGCCGCGATCACGTGTCCCCGCGCGGCGCCAGCGCAGCGCGCGCGGCCCCTCCCCGCGCGGTCACGTGCCGGGGGCGGGGCCGGGGGAGTTGTCAGTGCGGGCGGACCCAGGTAAAGTTGCGGCGGCGGCGGTGGCGGCTCCGGTACCGCGCGGCCCCCGAACCCGCCCCCTCCCCGCCGGGCCCCCCCCCGCGGACGTGACCGCGCGGGGAGGGGCCGGGGCTGCGCTGGCGGCGCCGCGCGGCACGTCGTCATCGCGGCTCCCCCCCCTCCTCCTCCTCGGTCACGTGCCGCGGGCCGCAGGGCGGGTTCGCG